TGAGGAGGGACACTCTGACACTTTCTCAGCTCACTTCTCAAAGTAACACCCCAGCATGATCTAGCATGGTGGAATACTCAAGGCTGGGGGACTCTTCTGGGTGTCAGGGGACCCCAGGTCTGGAGGAGTCATAGCTTGTTCCTGACCATTCTGGAAGGAATCCAGGTACTCACTCAATACCACCTAGTGACCAGAGGGTCACTTAAGTGCTGACCAGCCTATGTCAATGAGTGGCTCTTCCAGATCAGTAGTTTAGAAAGACCATGTGGTGATTGGGAGGACAGGTGAGGACTCCTATGTCAAAGCAATCACTCTGCCCCCAAGCTCAGGGATCCAGATCCTTCCAAGACATATCTGACCTCTATCTGTCTCCATCTTAGCACTCACTCCTGGAGCGCTTTGGGTTCTCCACGCAAGGCTGCCCCTTCTGCCAGAGAGAGATCTATGATCACCCCTTCCCAGTAATCTCTGGGCCAATGTGATCTAATTGGCATATAGCAGGGCCCCTCATATCTTGGCTCCAACCCTCTTTTGAGTCCCAACTCCTATGCCATCTCTTTTGCCATAAGCTGACTTTCCTATCCCCCTTGACTCAGACATTCCATGAGAGTGGTTTGTCTGGTGGCCTCTAACCATGCTCCAGTGTTTTGACATCCTAGGGTTTCCCTTTGCTTTCCCTGTGGCCCTCCACTCATATCCCTAGCACTTCTCTTTCCACTGACCAGGCACAACTCCTAACCTCTTGTGCCAAGTCCAGCACCACTAGAGAGGCCGCAAAGTCTAAGTGATTTGTCCCTTAAGGCCATACTCAACCCTTTAAAATTGAGGGCTTATTGGGAGCTCCATGCCTTTGAGGAATGGAAACATCAGAGATATCTGGGATACAGAGGGAGCTACTGTGGGCCCAGCCTGAGCCCCTCAGAGGGGAGAGGAGATCTGTCTGTTGCTTTACCCTCTAACTAGTGTGGGACCCATATTCCTGGCATCAGGAACTGGAATGTGGTCCGGGGACCTTTTCACCATGGGTCCTCATCCAGAACCCAGTCAGTCCCACCTAGGCCTGTCAGAGGAGACAGAGTGACATTCTCCTGTCCAACCAGTTACAGGATAAGCTTACTGATAATCTAAGTTGTCAATTCTACTTGGGCAGGCCAGCAGATCCCACCCAATCAGTTTCTCTTTCTTCTTTCCTTTTGTTTCCCCTCCTTTCTTGAGTCTAACTGTAAGTTCCCTCCACTTTTTTCTCTCCCTCCACATTCTCCTCTGGACTGTCTCCTTAAGCATTGGAAAAATTGAGATCCAGAGAATTTAGAGAAGACGAGACTGATCTTTTTCTGTGCTGTGGCATGGGGCCAATATCCTTTGGGAGGAATTCAGTGGCCCACTGGGGGAAACTTTGACTGTAATACCATCTTACACCTAGATCTCTTTTGCAAGTGAGAGGGAAAATGAAGTGAGTTCCCATATGTCTAGCTCTTCTTTCTCCTGCAGGATCACCTGGAATGGGTCTGACAGTGTCACATGGAGCCCACTTTGCTGCTAAAGTGGCTCTCTGTTTCACTCCAACCAAAAAAGCAAGCACTCTGGGAAGGAACAAATCAGAAACCTACACCTCCTTATAATGGAGAAGCTCCTGTGCTCCCCTTGGCATCTCCAGAGGGTCTCTATCCCTTTTGGGTAGGACTGACCAACAGGTCCCCTTCACTTATTCAGAGTTGGGGAACATAAATAAGGACTTCAGCAATTTCACCAAGGACCCTGATACTTACATAAGGACCTTTAACTGGGTCAGCACCCTCTTTTTTTTTTTTTTTT